GAAGTACAAAGGCCAACTTTCTTCCAACTTTCCCTCAGTGAAGGTATTCATTTGAATCATCCTTATCTATTCACCTAGCAGTTTTCCCAATACTCGCAGGTTATTTGCTCTAAAACACTTATTCTTCATTGAAAGTGGCCAAAAGGGCCATTGGGAAGGACTGACAGATTATGTAGATAAACTGTAGTACGAGACAGACTGATAGAAGAAAATAAACTTCCACAGAAAAATAGCACAAGAGAAACAGCGTCAGTAGTATTCGGTTCTTTATACTCCCTGATAATTTTTCAGCAGTGAAAAGGATAGAAATGAGATCACATCCTGCTATTTCAGTAGGTTCCCAATAGAACTCTGACAGAAAAAGAACAGATTTGTTTTTCATCCTGAACAGCTTTTACTCGCACTTTCATACAACTCAGTAAATTGTTGAGAACAAAATGATTCCCTCCTAATGCTCTCCTGAATATCCTTACACAGAAGACGGATGTTGGCAGGCATGGTTGTCAGTAGGAATTTCATCAGAATTGTTTAGTGCTTGTAATGAAGCATATAGACGTAATTCTGTTGGAACTGTTGCCACTAATACAGTAAGAAAACTGTGAGTCAAGACCTCACCACCCACCACTGTGTAGCTGCTGGAAATTCCTCTCTGCATGCTCTGCCACAGAGAAGCATAATTCTGTCCTCTGAGTGTTACTACACCTGAAAAGAATGATATGCTACACCTGGTGCATTTTCTTAACAATGAAAGACACAGATGCATACCATCTAAAAAGGAGTTTTCTACCAGTATTTTACAGGTATTTTCACAGCTCTTCCAGTCCTCTACCAACCTGCAAACTAGCAATCTGAACACACATGCAGCTGAAAACAAAATACAATACAAAGATAAGCATGTGTATACGCACATCTCATAAGAAAAAAAATAAGTACAGTAGTAGGCTTAAATACTTACTTTTGCAGAAATAGTGTACTGGAAGGAATTGGAAAGAAGGGAGGTGAGAGAAAGAAACAAAGACAACTGCAAAGAGTATCAGCAAAAAAAACACGATTATGCTGACCTGCCTATGAAACAAAAGAGCCTGTATTCTATTTAACACCATACTGAAGTGCTGTCACTTAAACTTAATAGTCTAATATACTTAGGATTATCATCACATTTACTCAGCATCTTTTCTTCGGCTTTTGAAATACTTTGTAAACACATAACCAAACCAAAATCAACTCCTTACAAAAACAATTGCACTCTAAAAAAAGAAATGAGTTTCATCTTCTAGCATCACATTTACTCCCATTTTCCACTTTTTAATCCATATATATATATCTAATAAATAAATTCAGCAACTAAGAAACCAAAGCTGCATAAATCACCATCTCTGTGCTCCACACTGAGGAATTATATTGAGATTCATTGAAGATACCTGTGTATTGCAAAAGCCGCATCACAAACATGCCAAGCAAACTCAGAGTTCACTCTCACTAAAATTTATCTTAAGCCATCAAGTGAAATTGCTTTCATCTTCTTAGAGTTAGGAATAGATTGGTGTCTTCCATTTTAAGTATGAACATGTTACATAAACCATCATTTCCTACAAATAAAGGAGCCCATTCCATCATTTTGGGGGTTTTGTGCACCTGATCTCTGCCTAATACACAGACTAGTCTTCACGCTCTTCTATAAAGCTCATGTAACATTTGGCATGAAGACAAATGCCCTGTATACTCCCTCATGCATTAACCTGTTATCTTTAAAGTTCATCATAAACATATCAATGTGTTACTGGGCAGAAGTACCAGTGCCACCTTTGGTTAGAGTAACATTCATTAAAACGTTAATAACACCTGTACAGAAGTTAAGGAAAAGCTAATGCTCATCTGGAGAAAATGACACAGGCAAGATGTGGCCAAGAGCACAGATTTTTCATGCTACTAATCATGATCTTTCATGTTATGTGAAAGTATTTACTAAAATGCAAGCTCCCATTCCCCTAGCCTGTTCTCTTAGATAGATCCTTACTACTTGTGGAATTTCAGTAGTCATAACAGAGCTCTCCTTGTGTAAACAAAACTTAACAATCAAAGTCCAAGTAACCAGACTTAGGAGCACAGGAGTGTTATTGTTGCTATTTAGACAACTGGCCAATTTTACAAACGTATCCACAAGAAAGCCAAACCACTTGTGCTTTTTCATGTGCTTATATATTGAGCAGGTCTTAATTTGTATTTCCTTCACATAGTACCTAATAAAGCATAGAAGTGACCACATTTTATTAGCCCTGTCAATTAAAAAATTTTTATGTCAGTGTGGACCAGAACTGCTCAAATTGGATTAAGAAAAACTGTCTGCATGAACTGAAATAAGCAGCTAAACAATGAGAGCTAGAGGTTTTTTTTTTCCCTTCATAATTTTGCTTCACTAGCACAGGTTCTGAAAGTTTCCACTTTAAGACTCTAACCCTGGGGCATGCTCACAGAGAAAAATCTGAAACCCTATAACTATTCTCTTATAAAAAAAAAAAAAAGTAATGAAAGAGGACTTGCTTGGGGAAATCTCAAAGTGAACACCTGAATATTTCTAGCTGGCCCTAAGCATGATATGTTAGACCTCTAACATGCACAAATGTCAAGTAAAATTTTTTAGGAAACTCAGCCCTAATCCTTCATCCTAAACAAATCTTTGTCCATACAGAGTCCAACTAAGCCTAGTGCAACCCCTCCTCCCTGAAGCAGTGCTGCTGCATAGTCTGTGCAGAAGCAAGGGTGAAATAAGATTCAACACTTACAAGCATTTACTTGATGTCTATCATCTAACTTTACTACTGCTGTTCGATATAGGAAAGTCAAACATCTTTCCAAATACGTGACAGACTTGGGCATTTGCAGTTCAATCTCTAATACATATGGACAGTGTGTTATGTTACTTAATTACGACTTTTTTGAAAATCAAACTCTGGCTGAGGTGCCTATGTTTCAGAGCTAATTCATGCATCCAGTTTTACTTTTTAAACAGACCTAGAATTTCATCAAAAAGCTCTGTAAGTTCTTATACCTCTCTCATTCTGTGATTCTTCTAACAGGATATTTGGCATCTGTTATCCTAATGCCCATGTGAACAGTTTAAACACTGACACTTCCTAGATTATACACGTAGGAGAGGGATAAATACACAATAGCTTATATTACTGTTATATATAGTATATACGGTATTATACATAACTTAAAAGCACACAGTATGCGATGTACCATCACAGCAAAGCCAAACAGCATCCCAGCTGGTGTTCTGAAAAATTCCACATGTAGATTAAGAGAGGTGGTCCTTCCACTCTGCTCACACTGGTAAGAGCACAGCTGCCTGCTGAGCTGGGTTCAGTTCTAGATTTTCCACTAGGAGAAACACTGATGTACCCAAGCAAGCCCAATGAAATGCTGACAACATGATTAAGGGAAAGGAGCATCTGAGCACATGTTGAAGCTGGAAATTCAGTCTTGCCATTAAAACAACTTTATATCTGAAGAGCATAATCAAACACTAAAACACGTTGTGCAGAGAGGTTGTGGACTCTCCAAAATCCTGAGCAACCTGTTCTTGATGACTTGGCTTTGAGCAGGTGAGTTGGACTAACTTGCACAGATGTCTTCCAATCACCACTCCACAGCTCTAGATTGCTCAGAGCTTTAATCTCTTGGAAGCATAGATAGAATACATTACTTGAGTTTCCAGAGGGACTCCAGCTCTGAAGGCAAAGTTTGGAACTGACGACTAGATCTACTGAAAGTACACAAGCTATTACTGAAACACACCTTCAACACCAAGCTCCCGAGTCACGGCTGCGATTACAAGCAGAGGCTGCTCCAGCACAGGCTTTCGCATTGCATAGCGCCGTCTCCTGGTGAACAGGTAAAAGCGCAATTTTCTTTCTAAGATCCGAGAAAACCATCAAACGCAATATCTATGTGAGATATAGTAAAGATGAGTTTTAAGACAGTTACTTTAAATTTAAAATTCTACAATTCACAAAAATCTCAAAAAAAAAAGTTTATAAATCCCAGTTTCTCCTAGAAATGCAAAGTAGAAAAAAAAGCCTTTAAAATATCTCAAGCCTTGGAAGAAGGGCCAGCCTGCATCAAAAGCACCTGGCATTAATCTTGTTTCTGATTTCAGTATGCAAAAAACCATGTAGTTCAAAGTAGAAATACCAGAAGAAATAAACGAATATACAAAAATAGGAGAATTCTTACTCCTTCCAGAATGCCAGGGAAGAACGGAAAGGCCCCCATTTCCATTCCATTCCTAAATAATGCAGTGAATGCACTTTCTTAATACAAAACACACACAAAACTTTTCCTCCAATGTCTGCCCTCCCATATTCAAGTCAATATAACTAAAATGAAACAGATTCACCTAAGGTGCTGTAATAAATCAGCAGTACCTTTAAGGAAGGTAAGGGCTCACACACCTGTTTTGACACGGACTGCTCTCACAGAACTTAAGGAAGCCCACAGCAGCACACTCAGGGGCCTACTTCACTCGGAGGACTCCTTGGTCACAAGAGCAAATTTGGAGGCAAATGCTGCCCCATTTTTCCTCAGAATTTTTTAGCCCAACGTCATTTTCAAGCAAGGCTGCACAGAACACAAAGTGGCACTGCCATCTCAGCATCACTTAGCAAACACAGGACGAGGCCGAAGGGCCGTGAGCAGGGCATGCCAGCAAATACTCCCTTCAGAGCCCTGCTGACAGGTACCGGCGCGCAGAGGCGCGGTGAGGAAGAACGCAGGCGTTCCCACCAACTGCGCCACCGCGCCACACAGCCGCCCCTCGCTTCCCTTCCCGCTCTTTTTCAAAGTTCGTGACGTCACCGCCGAGGCGCGGCCGTTACGGGCGCACGTGCACCGCCCTTTGAGGGTTCCCTCAGGGGGCGGTGGCACCGATGGGCGGGCCGTGGGGGTAGCGCGCAGGCGCGCTGTGGGCTGGGCTGCGGGCGACGGTCGGCGGCCCGATGAGCGGGCGCTGCCGGGCGGGCGCGGCTTCGCTGCTGCGGGGGCTGATCGGCCCCGCTGCCCTCGGCCTGGGCGGGAGCATGAGCCTTTGCGGGACGCCGGCCGCCTGCGCCGCGGGCCCCGCGAGTGGCGGCGGCGGCGGCTTCTCCTCGGCGCGGCTGAGCCCGCCGTGGCTGCGGCTGCCGGAGGTGACGGGCGCGGAGCCGCAGCGGGCCAACGAGCTGCTGCTGCTGCTGCCCCCGGCCCCGCGCGGCCCGACGCCGCCTCAGCATCACGTCGTGTACTTCCCGGGGGACGTGCAGGTACGGGGCGGGGTGCGGGGCCGGGAGCGGGGAGTCCGCGGCTGAGGGAGCCGGCCCTGCCCGCCGCGTAGAGCTGAGGGGAAGCGTCTGTAAACGGCGCTCGGGGCGTCGCTGCTGGCGGCTGCGTCTGGGGCTGTGTCAAAGCGTGTCTTCGCGGAGGTGAGGGAATTGGAAAAGCGGGAGCTTTCCTGAGCAGATTTGTGGATAGCAGGGAGACTCGGGTGCTTCCTAGGTATTAAAGACCGTGCCTGTAAGGAGGCACGTGTTGTCCCTAAGGTGACAGACGTCGGAGGGGCGCCGCAGTGTGCGCGGCAGTCACCCGTGGCACGTAACTTCCATTTCAAGGGTCAGAAGACCCTTTGGGCTGCCGCTGCTGCTAGTGCCTTGTCCAGAGCTTGTGTTGTCCTCAGTACGTGTAACTGATCCGTGTTCTCTAGTGTTGGGGATTCAGGGTGAGGATCATGCATGAGAAAACCGATTCTTGAAGATTCAAGTCTATTGTTTGCCTGTAATAGGACAAACAATATTTCTGCAAGTAGAGTAAATACATTATAATTATGTGTTTTGGAGCACTTTTCCTGTAAATAAAGTTTAAAGGAGCTGAGCTTGTTTAGCTTGGAAATAAGAAGTCTACAGGGACAACTCATTGTGACCTTCCAGTAGTCAAAGGGAGCTTACAAGCAGGAGGGGGATTGACTTTTTACATGGTCTGATAGTGATAAGGCAAGGGGGAATGGCTTTAAACTGAAAGATGAGAGATTTAGGTTGTATTTAAGGAAGAAATCTTGATTCAGAGAGTAGTGAGGTGCTAGCATGGGCTGCCCAGGAAAGCTGTGGATGTCCCCGTCTTTGCAGGCAGCCTCTGGTTGGATGGGGCCTTGGGCGGACTGATCTAGTGGCTGTCAACCCTGCCCTGGTAGGGGGTTCGATCTAGATGGGCTTTTAAGTTCCTTCCGACGTTAGCAATTCTGCTTCTGTGTCATACTAAAATGAGTAATACTTTAGTCTTTTTTTGGAGTAATATTACAGAAATGATGTGTACTTCAAGATACTTATTATGTTGATTTTGGGGGTGTAAAAATATGTGGTAAAAATATTGAAGTAGAAGAAGTAAATTTAAATGTAGCAGTTTCTGTAGCATGTTTCTTGTTCTCAGAGCCTAGCAAGAAAGCATCTTTGTAATGCGAAACAGTTCCCTTGGTCATGATCCCTTCTTGTGAATGCACTAGATGGAGCTGAGCTGTTTTTTCAATGTAGTAATGCGTCTTTTCTATTTTTAATTTTTCAGAACTATTATGACATCATGTCTTGCCACCCAGAAAACTTTCAGTGGGAGCACTGGAGTTTCGAAAATGTTGCTACCATACTTGCTCACCGATTCCCTGATAGTTTTATTTGGGTCGTAAAGTGTTCTCGAATGCACTTGCACAAATTCAGTTGTTATGACAACTTTGTGGCTAGCAACATGTTTGGAGCACCAGAGCACAGCACCGACTTTGGAGCTTTCAAGCATCTCCACGCGTTGCTAGTTAATGCATTCAGACTCTCTCAGAATATTCTGCAGTCCCAGACAACCGCGCACGGTTTCAGCAAGGATGCAAAAGTATCTGCTCGTAAATCAGAGCCGCAGTCTGTTCCTACAGCAAATGGCTGCTCATCCACAGAAAGAGAGAAAGATTGTGAATGCTCTAATAATTCCACCATGAACTTCATTATACCATCTGCTGTAGGTGCAGTGTCGTTTACTTTGATCGGCTTCAGTAAAGGTTGTGTGGTTTTGAACCAGCTGCTTTACGAGCTGAAAGAAGCTAAGAAAGACAAGAATACCGATGCCTTCCTAAAAAACATAAAAGCCATTTACTGGTTGGATGGTGGTCACTCGGGAGGAAGCAACACTTGGGTTACTTATCCTGAAGTGCTGAAAGAGCTTGCACAGACAGGAATTGAAGTTCATTCTCACGTTACACCATATCAAGTGTTTGACACAATGAGATCATGGATTGGGAGAGAGCATGAGAAATTTGTACAGATACTTGAAGAATTTGGTGTGGAAATAAATGATCAACTACATTTTGCTGACGAAGTTCCCTCCTTAGATAACCATTTCAGAGTTCATGAAGTATTTTGAGACTGTCTCAATAGTATATTCATTGCAAAAGCACTTTTGATGTGGTAAATCCTGTTATCTAGGTTTAAAGCTTTGAGCAGATGCTTTCTGAAGAGAATACTAAATCAGGCCTGAGTTACTAATAGCTGCCATATACCATTTCAAGTAGCTTCAAAAGGAGGACATCTGCAAGACGTCATCATTTGATACCTGGAAAGAAAAAATGCTATGAAGAGTTAGTCTATAAATGTTTTCTGTTGTGTGAGCATTTATTGTTAAATTATTGACAGAATTTTTAGTCCTGAATGTCTACAGTCATATGCTGCCTTCAACGGGAATTTTAAGTACTTGAGACTTTCACGTGTCTGGATGGGTCAACTTAGTAGCTTCCAGGGCTAAAAACTTTGGTCTCTGTCCATTATTTTCTTTATTTTTTTGGTGTAAGATAATGATTGTTAGAGCAATCTCGGCTCTCTGTTTTGTTGGAAATTGTTTTCTTTAGTTATCTAAATCTTCCAGTTTTATAGCGTTTCTCCTAATTGAAAAGAAATCACGAGTATTTACCTTTGGAACAATAGTGCCAATCTGTTTTTCTTCTTTGTGAGCGCCTTGCCTTTTCTGTGGCTACAAAGTTTCCTTAACTCATTGCACAGCATCTGCTTGTGAATAGCCTTTTCGCCTGGGAGCTTGAAGATTTAGACTTAGCTGTGTTGAGTGACCAAGAATGTTTGTAAGGGTGTAGTTTATTGCTGTTTAAACGTACCTTCCTATTGTTTTGATTGACTTCTGTAAGGACCAGCAGTCATATCTGCATTTTCAGCTCAAGGGGTATCCTTAGCCCTTCTGATCTGGGACTGGTGGAAGTTTTTGTTACAAACTGCAGCATTAGCGTTCATCTAAATCAAGCCGTAAGTACGTAATGTATGAGAAGTTGCATTAAAAATTTTAGGCTGTTGCCTGTAGCTATTTTGTAGTTCTTCTGTTTGTAGAACTGTTCTCTCCTTTCCACATATTGCAGCAGCTGCTTGTAGAGCCACCCAAAAATCTATATTCAAAGCTCAATGTTCTACACATCTAGAAATTAAAAATGAAAAACAAACAAACCCAACACCCAATTCTAACTAAAAACAAAGCCGGACAAATCTTGCTCTTGCCTTGAGCCTGAGTATTTTTCAACATGAAAGATGGAAGTAATGCAGGATTTTTTTCAGTTGTAAACAACTTTTTCTATTTATCTACAAATAAATGTTTGTGAATCCTTAAAGACAATTGCAGCTTTTACTGATGAACCTTGACATAAAATGGCTTTGGATTTCTTGAAGGGTAGAAATATAAAAGCAAGTTAGTGAAAATTGTAGAGACAAATTCAGTTCTGAAAAATATTTTTTTATTCAACATTGCTCCCATATCCTTCCCCCTTATTTCTTGCTTCTTGTTATTCTTAAGCTGTGGAAGGAAAGACCTGGGTCGTCTTTCCTCTACTGGGATATTTTGAATATGCAGGTTTCACTGGAGATGTATTCTGACATCTCTTGCAATGTTGATGCACATATTAATGACCACTGAAGAATGAGAAAACTTTGTTGAATTCAGAAAACTTTTTTAAAAACTCAAAATATCAAGAGCAAGAAAGAATTGTGCATACTTTACACTCATGGAAGGGAGCTGTCAGTAATTATGAGGCCATGTGTACCACTTTGATCAAAACTAGAAATAAGCTATTTTAATTGCTGAAGAAAAGAGCAACATGTAAACCAACTAACGTAAAGGAATCTGACATCTAGTTGTATCTATGTTTGGTTTTCTTGGAGATTTTGTTCAACTCTATTACCATTTTAGTGAGATTCTAAATACTTACCTGTTGTAAAGAAGAACTATTTTGGTCCTTTCGATGACCCTTGCATCATATGTTAGGACTCTTTTCTCTAAAGGAAATGTGGACCACCTTAAAAATGGTTTTAGTGGTCTCCACATGCCTGCAGATTGCTTGAAATATCTTTTAAATTGAAACAAACGAACGTATCACTGACCTTGTTCCCTGTCAGTTCAGCTTATCTGCCAAATTAACCAGACTAGTTTAGATATGCTGAGACTTGCCCTACCCAGTAGCAGTGCAGATCACAGACCCATTTGTAGACAATTCGGTGCCAGCCAAAACAGCGGGAGAGGGTTGGTACAAGCTTTTGAAAACAGCTATTAAAATATTGGCATCATCTTCAGAAGTTCCTGAGCGGTTGTCCTTTTGGTGGAGGTGGCTTACAATAATTTGGTAAGCAAAATCAGCTCAAGCATTGCTGTGTTAGTTTGAAGAATAAGCACTTTGTTGTAAAGCTAATCTTACTGTGAGACTTCATGTTGTGGAGGGAAAACTGCCTGCTTTCTTCATTCTCTAATAGTTGTAATGCTCTGTTGGATGTGCCTCATTTATTACAAAGCATGCTAAAAATGATATGCAAAGAATGTAGAAAATAAACTATTTATAATGGGTGAAAACACTTCAATGTGAGTGTAAAATGATTAAAGCTGTTGAGTTCTGTGCATTATGCTTTGCCAGGTGTTTGTGGTGACCTAGTTTAAAAAATGATTTGTTTCAAAGCACCTTTTTTTTTTTTCTTTTCAAAGCAGGCTTTGCATTAGCATAGTTGGCATCCATAATTCTAAAAGAGCTTCCTGGAAACTTGCATATGTAGGAAAGCTGTTGTGAAGTACCCAAGGGCTGAACATTTGTATGTTAGGATGAAATGGGTCATAGTTTGCGTGTGCTTGTTTCTCAAGGTTAACTGTAAAGGCAGTTTTTTAATATGCTTGGATGTAAATGCCTAAAGTTGAGTGGTTTTCATGCTTGCTTGCACTTATATGTCTGAGTGGGGTAAGGAACGTTACAATGTCCTTAGTCAACCAGGTATGTAATAGCTGGTATTCTTCATATTACTTGCTTGTTTTTGGACAGTAGGAAAGATGTTCTTCAGATTTTGAGGAATGCTAATACGTTTTAAGTCACAGCTGTTAAAAATCCCTTTAAGACAGTGCTCAGTTCTGTGAAATTGTCCAGATTACACGTAACATAAATGATTCTACTTTGAGTGCGTCTTACATACTAGAAACTTAGCTAACTTTTTTCCTACCAAAGGCTAAGGGGTGATGTAGTCGCATTTCTATAGATGCTTCTGTAATGAATTGGACCCCAAAGTCTGAAAGGTGATTGAGGGTCCAAGACTTAAAATGTTACTGAAATCTTTTGTTCTCCCGGTGTTAACATCTTTCTGCCTCCTAGTGTAAGTTAGCACTAGCACTTTATAGTAAGCTGTTCTAGCTTAATAAATTCACATTAATTGCTGATACAGAGATAACTAATAGGAGTGACATGTATTTGTTTCCTCCAGCCTCCCCACCTGGTCTCTTCCAAATAATTCATTCAATTATAAGAATACTTCAGACATGTATAATATTCTCTGTCCGGGTAACTTAAGCTGTTTTGTAAAAGTGATTCTGCAATAACACTGATTAAAAAAAATATTGGAAAGATGGACGACAGATGTTCTGTGAAAAATTATGGATGACTCAACTGGTTTTGTATTGTTTTTACTGAGTTTCCATACAGGACTGACATAACTGTATAATATATTAATCATAACTGTAGCTTGAGGTATTTGTTGCATTGTTTCTTGATAACACTGAAATAATCTATAGTGCCACATGTGTTTTAATACAGGATATATGGCAATGTAATCGGTAGCAGATAAGCTACAGTGAGTAGCAGTCAGCATAGATGTTGTACTGAGGGACATGGTTTAGTGAAAATGTTGGTGACAGGTGGATGGTTGGTCTGGATGATCTTAGAGGTCTTTTCCAACCTCGGTGACTCTATGCTTTTGTAGTTGCTTTAGCAGAAACCCTGTGTTGAGCAGTGCTTTGGATTCCTTGTGCCATAGAAGCCAAGGGCTTCACAGCCCTTCTTGTAGCAACATAACTGGTAACCTCTGTGCTCTCTTGTGTGCCCTACTTTTAGGTACTGCCTAGCAGAATCTACAAATGTAAATTTTGTGAGGGGTGTCCCTGTACAAAACAAAAAGCAAAGGCTCATGTCTCACACTGCAGTCTGCAGTCTTTGCAATCTTTCTTTCAGTGTAAGATCATACAACACCTGTGTGGAGGAGACAGATGCTGCCTTTCCCAGTGCCAGATAGACACTCCTGACTGAACTCATTTTAGCAGCATTAATAGCATATTTCAACTCCTCCCACTGACAAAAAAAAAGAAAAAAGAAGCCCACAAAGATTTATACAGTACTGGCTGCTCCACATCATTGAGATTCACCATGGAAAAACTGATTAAGGCAGGCATTTTGCTTAGAGTACTTCAGGTTCTAAAATAGTGATGGGTCTGAAGTAGTTTCCTGCCTTTGGGGTTTCATTACACTTGTTTCTTAAGTGACTCAGGAAGTGCCAGATTCTTTTTAAGCAAATGATCAGAAAAACATCTGCTAGAAAAAAGGGAAAAATATTTTTTTTTCTAAACTTCTATGAGCATCTAATATATTTAAAAAGCAGCAGAATGCTACTACTCCAATTTTCATATAAATTTTTATGAAAATTCCCTTTTCAGTAGGTTCTCAAAGAGCACTTTTAGTCAGGGTTGTTTCCTCTGTTAGACTTGGCAATTGAGAGCTGAGTTGTTTCTAGTGAAAGTGCTGCTGCAAGACAGAAAGACTGCCATGAAAGGTACCAGCGGTGAAGTGCAAAATGGGGCTCTTCACATGTCCCACAACAGCCTTCAGTTATGAAGAATACTCTAGCCTGACATCAGGTGAAACTTGCATCCCTTACAGAACATCTGTGTAGTTCTTCTTTCTCATTTGTCTTCTTTAGAACTGCATTGAGTTTTGTGATGGAAGTTTTAAGCAATTCATGTATTGCTTGACATCTGAAATGTAAGTGCTTTCACAGCAAAAATTGTACAGTGCTGTGATCTGCCACAAGCAGTAGCTTCTGAGCATTTCTGGCCAAACATAGCATCACATGTGGAGCTGTTCATTTTGCATGGTTGAGCAGTTCTTTTAATCTTTTCAATTTGCTCCTGGTTCTCATAGCAATCACCAAATAAAGAGATAATTGCTCTCAGAATTTCATAGCTGCAGAGATCAGAATCAGTCCCTGGTGCTACAGTCTGAGTCAAGCCCAAATAAAATATGGTTTTTTTAAACACCAAAAAAATAAACACGTAACAATGATTTGAATAACACTAGAGTCCTTGGTAATGGAATGATATTATAGAGAATTTCTTATAGAAATTACTGTCTTTGAGCATACATCCCCAACACCTGGATTGTCTGCATAGAAACATCCAAGTGTCCCAGATGTGTAAGGGGACACTTTGGCAACAGGAGGAAAGAATCTTTTAAAGCTGTAAAGTAAGACATAGATATATATGTAATATATACATAATATAACCTTTAGTATGGTAAAATCATCCTTGCCTTTGTCAAGCTAATAAACTCATTATGAGACTAACAATGTGAATGAGGCAAATAGTTTCATACTGCATATTTGAAAGCAATTGCAAGTACTTCTGATGCTTTGTGAAAGCCTAGTCTTTTTAAATTAGGCATTTAACATAGACTCTACATCACTCCTGGAGAGAACCAGGTTGTTGAGTGAGGTTCATCAAATCTTCAGCATGCGTGTGGTGGGCAGAATCTTGATGCTAAAAGAATATATTGACATCAGTTTTGGCATTGGATTCTTACTACCAGAAACATTAAGAAAAGTGCTTAAGAAGTGTTTCTTCTGAAGTTGTGTGTCATCCTTGATATCATGCAATCAAGGATAAGTATTTTTTCCAGCTATTTTGTTGTCATGTACTGGATTACACTCTAAAAGCATTAGTTGAAATTCACTCTAAAAATTCGGTTACTACTGACTGCAGATACTGTAAGTATTTTGTCCAGAGCAGTCTGCATGGGTAACTAACCTGCTATGTGCACTGCTAGAGTGACTGTTTTGGATGTCTAAGATTGTCAGCAGTTATAATTGCCACAACTTCATGTGTTTTATTGTGGAATGATCCCATTTTGCTGTAGCTCCCTAAAGAATGAACTTCCACAGAACATTAGTGGCTCTAACATGTTATTTTAGTCACTGATTTTCAGTGTGGCTACAAGTATTCTCTCACTGTGTTAGCTGGAGATTATTTCTTTGATACTTTCACCATTCACTCATCACTACTGCTTACTTCATAACATCTACCACAGTGGTTAGAAAGCACCAAGGGCTTTTTGTTTTGTTTTGTAATATTTTATTTTTTAACACAAACTTCAGTATTTTTGTCACTAGAGAGATTATGCTCAGATTAAGAAACTACACTTTTAAACTGCTTGGTTACTAATTTAATAGCATTTCAGAGCCATGTGTTCCATATGAATTGTTTAAGAAATTCAAGAAATTGGTTCAAAGGGATAAAAATGGATGCTACTGACAAAATAACTGCTGTGCTGATCTTCTCACTGGTCTGCATGGAATACTATTTGTCTTTCTCAAATACGTGCTTAGATCACTATGGATTTACTGACTATCTTCTCAGAGATGTGAAAACAAGAAGAGTCCTGGGGAGGGAGAAAAAACCCTATCCTCACCCACATTTCTCATAGCACACTGGAAGAGAAGCATGAGCAGGGCTGGGTTACCACCTGCTGATGGTCACAGTGAGATGACCTCATTTGCTGTCATATAAAAATAAAATTAAAGTTGGTAATATGAAACACAAGTAGCTGCACTTCCTATGGCTCTCGGCTGACATTTAATTCATGATTATCTCTGCCCAGCCAGATATGTATTTTCCAATCCAAACTTCACACTAGCCCAACAAGTGAATTGCAGCTTTTCTGCTGGGCTACCTCCACACTAGTAACTACCTCCAGAAAACCCAGAGTTTCCCTTTTTATACCCGAGTGTTGAGAGGGCCTGAGAACACCAAGCTACTTTGCGCCTCTTTTGGCAACAGAGAATCAAGAAATGATAGAATGAGGGCTCAGCACAGTACTGCCTCTGTACTAACATAATGAGAAGCTGCTGATGGTTAGAGTTAACAGAGCTGCAAAGGCACAATGCTGGAACAGCTTTCTGTATCCTGCAGGCTCTTTGAGCCTTTCCATTTACTCCTAATATACAAAAACAATCCATGTGTTGCCCTTGACATTACAACTTTGCCAAAGCCAAGAAGCTTTCCCAGCCTAACAGACACAGGTTCCATCTAAGCAGTATTGTACAGGCAATCCTTTAAAAAAAATAATAATAATTAAAAAAAAATTCGGGAGACCTGTTTGTGATCCTAGATTTAAATTCTACCCACAGCGTGCACAATGATGCCCATCAGAATCGCTTGACTGAGTCAATTCAAGTCTATTCATTCCGCTGGCTGGGTGCCCATTCACACGGCAGCAAGCTATTTTCGCTGAGTTAAACTGCCAAGGAGAATAGGTTTAGAGAAATAATGGGCACAGTGTAGCAAGCCCCTGCTTCTCTGGAGAGTTTCGGTGGTTTTATTTTTATTTTTATTTATTTATTTATTTATTTTTGCAGTGCTTTATTAGCCCTACGTATCTTGTCTAAGAGATTTTGAAAAGATACCATTCTCTTGAAAATAGCCGCACTGCTGAAAGTCACAGAGTGACCTGGATGTCAGATAAATACTGCATCCCCAAAACTGCACAAATAACAGACATTTTAAAGGGGCAATAGAAACCCTTTCTGTGACATGTCCACCTTCTTCTACATGGCTTCTGTAAGCACAGATACGTTTGGCTGCCAAAAATATCACCTGCAAATGTAAGATTGCAGCCTCCTTTCATATGGTAACATAATGCTTCTCATATACTGCTCCCAACAGCCCCTATATCTCCTCCAGCATTACAATCATTTCAGATTTTCCTGCTGTAGATTGATGGATTTGTGGGAAAGCTAGTTGCAAGTGTTTTAGCTGCAGAAGCAGAAGTGCTGCCTAAGTGCACTGAGGCAGGGACTGTGGTTGCAACAGAGTTTCCTGCATAATGCCTCATTCAGCTTGGAAAGGGATACATCATCTACCTCGTGGTCAAGCTCCTGCACTGTTCCCATCTCAGCCTTAAATTGTGCTCAAAATTATATGGAGTTTCACCACAAGAGGGAGCAGAAGCTCTCCACGCAGGCTGAATGACAGAGAAAGAAACCATAATCGTTACAACCAATGGCTCTATTGAATGCCGTATAAATATCTACAGCTTTCCTTAACTTTAGTATAAAGGAGGCATTCAGGAAGACGTGCAGTTATTTCTAAGCGTACATTCTGCTAGATCTGTCCAGATACCAAAACTTCCTTTCAGGAAAATGTACATAAATAATTTCAAAATGAGATTTAGAAGTGCAGCCACTGCAGATACGTGCTTCACTGTAGAAGTGGGATTGGGCACATCATGAGGAAAAAACAAAACATCCTACAAGGTCAACAGTTACGTATAACAAAGTTTATCAACAATGCTTTTTATCCTTACAGAAAGAGAATTTGTGTAGACATGGACAGTTCCTATATTAACATATAGTACTCTACTTCCACAGGAGATTGTGACTTACAAAGTGTTATTTTATCCATAATCATTCCTATAGGCTTTTTCTTGGATCCGTAACACCATTCTTCGAGCATAGAAATCCCTGTATTCTTCAGGTAGTTCTTCAAGTGTTTTCAAGGCCCTGTCCAAGATCTGTATTGCCCTAGAGGCTGCTGTGGGATCTTTATTTCCATAAGTGTCACTCTTGTCGTAGCATTCAGCAGGAAGGTGTTTCCAGAAGACATTCAGTGCCACTCCAAATTCCTCAGAAATTACATTGTGGAACCACATAGCTGTGAAAGAAAAATGTCTAAAATGAAAATTGCAATCTGAAACTTCCCTGTGACTCATGACAAGTGTCAGAATCACCCAAACTAATCCTACCTGAGGGAAAGCTTCCACTACTGTATTTACTATATTACAGCCAGGAACTATTTGTTACTTACCTGGAATAAATAACACATCTCCTGCTTCCAGATAACATTGATAGCGCTTGGCTTTCACAAAAAGTGGGTATTTCTCAAAGTCTGGGTTATCAACATCTAGCACCTCTGATTTGGTACCTAGAGAAATTTTCAGAAAGAACAAAAAAAAAACAGAAACAAAGCATTAATACACTGCTGGAAATGGCAGATCTTGAGTCCAGTTTAGTATTGTTTGTTGTTCTGTAGCTCGTCTAAAAGCCAGGCAAATCTGCTGGCACCTCTCATTTACTGAAGACGAATATTCTCTTGTCTGTATTTCTCCTGCAACTGCAGCCTTATTAACACTAAACGACACTTCCACTGACATATATAACATCATTTCAAAGCTGAACAGAGCGCAGTACTCCACAGTTAAGCGTTGAAGACAGAACCAAGTAAAGCTGCAGGGCTCATTTGCAGGTTTCCTAACTTGCATCACTAAAATTCTTGGCTTTGATCAAAGCAAACTGCATCAGAGGGACCAAATCACTTCTCACAATTAAAGTTATCAGTTACAGATTGTTTTCCTACAGCGCAACACTTACAAAGTGGAAGGGCAACTATGAGCAAACAGAGCAAACTCTGAATGAGATGTGTGTGGCATGCATACCTGATAAATATAAATATGGTACATCTCGAGGACTATACAGAACAACTCGTTTTCTACCTGTTACTTGGATTAAGAAGTTATCCATTACCTGAAATGAGCATAGAAAGAGATGTCAGCCGAAAGTTAGGAATGAAGAGTATTAAATCCCTCATATATAAGGACTAGCTAAAAATTTCCACATAGTTAATCTAAAAAACATAAGAATGTGAGCAACCTCATCCCTTAGCTGCAGAGTCTTTAAAAATAGTGCATTTGAAATAAAACAACATTGCTTTCCAACAACTTTACTTTTTTCCCTTGTACAGGAATCAAGTTCTTCCATCATAAACCACAAGGCTCACCACTCTTTAGATACATAAAACAGCAAAATATAATGCGAAATACATTTTGAGTTCTTTTTCAGTATTACCTCTACCACATTTTGCTGAGTTTCTGCTGATAAAGATTTTTTAAAATCTTATTTACAATGCAAAAAAACCTATTTTTCTTACAAATACATTTATCTGGAATTGCACTGTATGACATCAGAGGACCATCTTATTTGGAATCTACCACACTGCAGCAACAGACTGCCCAAATCACTGTACAGTTACCTATGAGAAGTTTGTCATTAACAGAACCTCGTCAACAGAGATGTGTAATTTAGTATCCCAACCCCACAATGCCATCTGCAACATTTGATGCTAACGATATTATTACCTACATCATAATGTGTCCATAGCTGCAATCCTGCTGAGCTGATGCGGAAGACACTAGAGAAAAACTGTTCCTTCTCAAAATACTCTGGAATCTGAACATCTTCTGCCAAAACAGGAAACTGTTTTCTGATATCTGCAATATCCTGAGTAAAAAAAGACAAAACTCTCAGAGAATCATTTATGCATGCTAAAATAAGGTGGCACCTTAGCATCATTTCCTGTCATGAGGAACATGGGGTCAGAACTTTTTTCAGCATTAGCAAATAACTTCAGAAAACAATGCTTTTCAGTTGTCATTCTTTCAGCTCAGACTCAGCCACCAGTGGTAATAAAAACAGACAGAGCTGCTGTGAACCATGACTGCTAGCAATCACACTGAAAAAGTGATCATCAGAAATGCTTTTATATTAGATTACAGCAATGGCTAGAGAATAGAATATAAAGGATATACTCTTCAGTGATCAGCCAAGTTTTCGTAACAGCAACTGTTTTGGACACTTAGGTTTAAATATTCTGACGTAAATCCACTCAGATTCCTGGACCAAGTGACCGTAAACAAATGTTATAGCTATACCACACAGCCAGGTGACAATAAAAATTGCAGCCTCAATATCAGAACTGCAGTCTCAAGTAACTCACCTTCCTAACATCTTCACCCACTGATCGCAAATAGTACTTCTCATCCTGTAGATAATACACAAAGATAATTGTTCTGGTTTTAATATGAGTTAGAAAAACACTTAAGAGCCTACGTTTTTTCATTAATCCAATGTAGGCCTGTAGTAAAATATACAAATAGATTCACAAATTCAGCTACTTTGTTATACTTTACTGCTCCCTGCAGTTCATCTCAACAAATGGGAAATGTAAATTAAGTGAGGAGTAAAGTGGGAGACTTGTCAGCTGCTTCAGCATTGCTTTTCTGAATTCAAAGGAAACGCAGATTACAACTTACATTCTTCAGAACACTGATGTTGGAAGATATTTCAATTGGCTTCAAATCATATGGCATCCTATGTAGCATAAGCAGTGAAAAGCAAATTTGCATTTAGAACTGTTTGCTTGCTAATTATAATTATCTGAAAAATCCAATTTGAACATTGTTGCACAAAGATTGCCATAAGTTCGCTACTCAAAAAATTTATTACAATAAATCTGTGTTTGTATTTTGATAGCAGATGTAATCAAACTCACGCATCTTGAGTTTTCTTATTAAACACCTGAAGTACACAAGTATTCTAAAGCAAGGCTAGATTTCTCAACTTCTTGATGGAGCTTCTGCTGCTGTCAGTTAGGTTTTGATAGCAGAAAAAGGACCAGCGAAGTTAACCATACCATATGCACGCAGAATAATTTCCACGGAAAGAATTCTTTTCCCTCACGTTTTTCCCTTGGCTCCAAGCCACTCAAAATAGTTAACTCTACAATCCAGTGCTTTAGTGGACTAAGACTTCAAATTAATTTATTTTTTCCCCTCCAAGTACAAAACAGAGAAGAAGCTGTGATACCAAGGAAGTTACCTCAGAAAGAAAGTAGTCTTTGTGTTTGACTTCAGCTGCCCTTCGTACAAATACATCAAAAGGCAGAGTTCTGAAATATAAACATGGAAATTCATACAGTCAACATAACAACACATGATCTAAGTGCAAGTCTTAAAATCATAAGCTTTCTCACCTTATCTAGTGTAACTGAAAGTGCAACATGTTTTTTATTTATTAGTTTATGTTATTTAACAAAGTGACTAACCAGTATTTGCAGCAAATGTTTGAGGAATTCTGCTGAGACAGAAATCCTGCATTTACAAACTTCTCTGCTTTAGTAAACTGTCCCCAGTACAGCCCCAAGCAAGCAAATCCAACAGCCACTGAAGTCAACAAGAAAAAAAACAAGTTCTGACTTTGGTTGAACATCTGTATCCTGTCCACTTATAAGTTCACTGCAGAAAAATGAGAGCACAGCTCTGGAACAGATGAAAGCATACTGGAAGCATACTGGTGCTGCCCTTGCTGACCATCGTCTTCTCATCCCCTACACTACACTAGCACCAGCACTCCTCTGAGCTATGGTGAACCTGCTCACAAAGTCAAAACAGCAAAAGAACATCCAGATTTCTGCACTTCCAGATCCAATACAAAGGCAAGGCAGCAGCACGATGCTGACAATGGAACTGCAGTAATACTTGCAGCACCAGTTCTAAATTGTGGAACTTCACATTAAGACTTCAGTGTTTCTGTTTTTTTAGTTCTACTTATTTCATTTTCATTCTACTTATTTAGTTCTACATCATTTCAAGTTTTCACAGTTGCTTCTGAAAGTGACAAACATCTGCCTCTAAATACAAGAGATTTGGGATGGAAGTACCTATACACAAAGTTCTTACTGAGGAAATCCATCTGTGGTACTGCAGAAACATGGATCTTTACTTCCTTAGATCCTGCAGCTTGGCTCAGGTAATCTACTGTCCATTTGGTTGTGCAAGGGCCCAGCTCCATTCCCTTCAGCACAACTGGCTCTCTCTAAGGAGGGAGAGAAAGAGAAACAATAGCAGAGAATGATGTTTGCATCCAATGGTGCTGATGGGGAACAGAATTATTTTTTCAATTTGCCATCTGAAATCTGGGAAGAAAACAGTCTTACTCCAACCTGGTGTCAGATAAACTAAGTATACGTGAACAGCTGTATCAGGACCTGCAACAATGTCACAAATGAACTGCTTGAAACTGAACAACGTGAATGCTGAACGCTCAGCAAAATGTGGGAGATCACAGGACTGCTTCTGTAGTTCCTGTTTTCCCAGCTGGATAAGGAAGGTTATGGAGAGGCAACAACAGCATTAACAGCCGGAGTGTTCTGAGACCACTGAGGAATCTAGCTGGCCTGAAGAACGGCTGCAATCATTCCCCTGCTTTGGAGGTATGGGCTGCAAGCTGTAATAGCAGTGTATGTTCTCGTGAAAGCAACTCTTCCCTCTCGCACTGAGGCTTCTAGATGCCGATACCCACAAATAGGTTTGGTCCATTGTACACATAAAGCCCAATAGAGAGGGTCTTTTTCATTCAGTCAGAACCTCAGAGGGAAAAGAAAGAAGAAAGAAATAAAAGGAGTCGCGGTGACAAAACGACAGAAAGCAATCGCATCACCGGCGATAAATACAATCCAGCCACCAGCGGCGTGTCGGAGCTCTGCAGCAACGCAGGACCGAGCCTTGACTCAGGCATCCGTGTTCAGGAGGGCTGCACGACGCCTGCTGCCTGAGAAGGCTTCGCTGGAACCCCCGCCGCGGCCCCGGCACCCCGCTCCCGCCGCGCCCGCGCCCGTACCCGGGGATAGACGTCCCGCAGGAAGCGCTCCCGCGTAACGCCATCCAGGCTCGGCACCTGCACCACGGGCTGCTCGTACCGCTCCATAGCCCCTACCACGCCGTCACGTCACGGCCGTCGTCCGCCGCTCCGCCGGGAAACGAGAACCGAGCGGAAGTGTTCCCCGCCTCCTGCCGCCTGGCAAGGGCCAGGAGACGGAGCCCTCTTTTCCGCTCCGGGAGGTCGGCTCTGCGAGGAGACGATGGACGGCCAGGCGAGCCGGTACGGCGCGGCTCCGCAGCCCTCCGCAGCCCTCTGCAGCACGGCGGAACCGGAGGCGCGGGGCGTGTTTCCGGCGGAGCGGCGCTCGAGCGGACGTGCCGGGGTCGGGGGGCACCGCCGCCATGATGGCGCTGCGCGCTGCTCCCCGGCGCGCACCGTGGCTGGCGCGCGCGCTCCTGGCGCCAGGGGCGGCCCGCGCAGCCCCACTCACAGCGCGCGTCCCGGTTCCGTCGCCGCCGGGCCCCCTCCCCGAGCTCCCCGCCGTGCGTTTCGCCAGCAGCGGGACGCAGGGGACCGAGGGAGAGGGGCCGCAGCGGCGGGTGGTGGTGGTGCGCATCACCAACCCCCTGGCCTGGCTCCGTACTCGTTTCTACTACCTGCTCATCCGCCTCTACTTCGACTCGGAGTTCAGCATCGAAGAGTTCACGCGCGGCGCCAAGCAGGTGAGACCCGGCGCGCCGGCCGGTGGCTCTGGGTTTAATTAAACAGCGGCGCAGAGCGGAGGGCGTTCAAGTGCCTCGGGACTCGAGAGGGAGCCGGGCAGAAGCACGCCGCGCTGTTTTACTTTGCCCTTCTTTTCTCGTTAATTTTTACGCGCGGTAAAAAGCTCAAAGCACGCTGTCAGCATTTCTCGTGTGCGCCGTTTGGACACGCTGAAGGGCCACTGCGTGTGGCGCTGCCTACAGAGCTGAGGAAGATAGGAAGCTGTGTGCCTCCGAAGTGTTGGGACTACAATAGATTCAAAACCAAATTATTTTAGTCCCGAGCATCTGTTTTGAGTGGGACTGGGAGGTGGCCTTGGAAGGGGCTGGGCAGGGGGGCAGTCAGGGAAGAGAACATGGATCGTTTGAATTGCTCAAAAAAAGAGTAAAAACAGCTGCAGGCTATTGTGATGTTTTCACAGAAGGGCACTTGTTTGCCTGTTACCAAAACTGTTGTGCTTTAAACGAGAATGGGAAGAACTCTTAGGCTTTTACCAGTTAACAGAATCCCTTTTTTAATGCTGGAATGGTTTTGTTCCAGTGGTGATATACCCTGTAAAGGTTGAAGTCTTAAATCGTGCAATGTTTAGGTAGCTTGTCCTATAACACTGTATTTGCCCAAAGAGTAAGCAAACCCCAAGTAATTTATTTATGTATTTCTCTTTTATTTCTGCAGGCCTTTTCCGTTGTTTCACAGCTGTTATCTCAGCGAAAACTTGACCTGCTGGATGGCCTGGTTTCAACAGAGGTAAATACTTCCATTTCTATTTCTGCCAGTTGATGTTTTCTATTATGAAATAAAATTATGATGAAAAAAATGTTCTTGCCACTAAACATAGGGACCAGTTTCCAAAAGGATTTCTGGTGTACCTGTCATTTATGAATTCCAAATTGCTGATGTTGTCTTGGCCTTCCCCAGGGACAGAGGTAGCATATGCATCAGTGAAGAGGAGGAGGTGCTTCAGGGCTGCATGTGCCCTGTTCCTGGATTTCAGCTTGGTTTGTGCTATTACCACCAATGCCTTTGCTACACAATTTTTGGCACAGTTATAGTGCATCCCTGCTGGATGCACTAAATATCTTACCTCCTTTCTGAGCAGAGTTAGCAATAGGCTGTAATTTTTTTTCTACAGATATTTTGAAAAAGTATCTCCTTTTCCTCTGTTCATCTTAAATTCTTCAGGTGATTGGGGGTAGCTCATGATCAGAGTGTGCAGGAGCCAAGACTGGTACCACACCACTGTCTTGCTCTGGCCGGTGAAATTCATACTTGCCATGCACTGGAAGCTAATGTCCTCTGGTAAAGATGCACATACTTCCATGCAATCTCTGAATTTATTTTTCAAAAGTGGCAGTTCAGGTTAGGATTAAAAACTGAATATGAGTTGAAGGTGTGCTACATGACTTAGTCTTTCCTTGTGATGCCTCCTTTTGTGGTGCTTGAGGTGATGCTTCTATTCTGCTAGTGCACCACATCCTTTCTACGTAACACAGCTGTGTACATCTTAGGATGCTCAAAAGCTGCTACTGTGACTGTGATCTGTAAGTTAAGTCCTAAAGGAATGGTTTTCCACTCTTTACTGATTGGCAAATGTCTAAACGTTTTCCAGTGGGAATGTGGATCCTGAAATGGCAAAGTTAAACTTAGTGGTAATGGAACTGATTTACAAAGAAATTGGTGAGAACTGAGAAATGATTGAATCAAAACGTAAGGAATGTGCATATAGCGAAGTCAGCAGTGCGAAGGCAGAGTAAGTATCTTTGTGGAAGCAAACTAAACTGGTATTTTCTGGACTTATGCATTGCTATGCAGCTCCTGCTTTGACAGTATATTTTCTAAACATTTTCATCAAATTGAGTATTAAATGGATCTTGTTTAGTATGGTTAACTAGGGCTTGGGAGTGCCCAGTGCTTTGCTCATTCTTGCTCTATGTTTTACAATGTTAAACAAATGTTATTCCAATATAGCTCATTTTATTAACTGTTATAGATAATAAGGTTGCTACTTCAGCTTCCTAATGAAGAACTAAGCATGAGTTTTTCTGAACTTAGGTACTTCAGATGTTGAAGGAAAAGATTTCTTCACTTTCTGAGAACCATAGGGATGCTTTAGCAGCTGACATGGATGCAATCATGTACACAACAGAAGGAGATGTTCGCATTTACTATGATGATGATGGTATGCTACAATTCTAAAACATTTCTGCAATGGGTGGTCTTTTTCCTGGCTTTGCTCTCTGTACAAGTGCGTTTTTTTAATGTTTTTCCTTTCTTGTTCTTTTGCTTGTAGTTCTGTACATAGTTCCCTAATTTCTTTTTAAATCAGAACTCGATACTGTTTGTAAATTATGGTATTGTTTTGACTTCTGTGTAGGGGTTTTGTTCATTCCTTTTTCATGACTTTGACTCTCTGTTGTTAGTCCTTAATCTCAAAGCACTCGAGCAGTGACTGTTCTATATGCAGAAGACTGATTGCTTTAGCAATGAAAATACATACATACATAGTAATTAAAGCTGGATAATGAAGGACATTTTACTGTCTTCACTACTATTCTGCTTTCATGGGTGTATAATCAATGGATATCAAGATGTTACAATCACAAAATAACCAAGAGAGTTAAACAAAGTGGGCTATGATAACAAAAGAGAATAAATGGAAGGCTTACCCTTATGCTAGGCTCACCACAAAACACCAGAAGGCAGGATCTCCAGACAAGATCCTTCCCTACTGGTAGCCAGCTCTTAAATAGGTCTAGGAGGAGTGGAGCCTGGCTCCTCCCCTTCCAGCAGCACAGCTGAATTGCCTTCACCTGTGCTCCTGTGGCTGATTGATGGCTCGCCTCAGGTGATCAATCAGAGGTTCAGGCCGTGGCTCAGCAGTTCCCATACACATGGGATATAGTTACAGAACACTGGTTATTTTTTTTAAGCTGGTGTTAACCTCAAACAAGTTTTCTTTTGTTTAAATACTAATATTGCATGCTGTCTTCTGTCAAACACAGTTGAGGTGAGTCTTGGAATCAGAATTTCAGATTTTCAAACCAAGTGAGCTTTTTTTTTCTTGCTTTTGAAGGTAAAGTTTTTTTTTCCCTGTTCACTTCTGAAATTTAACTCCCTTACCTTTTTTTGTAGTATGAATAGTTGGCTTTTGACTTTGTGATAGCCAACTTTTTTATCCAGTTAGATTGTATATGTTCTCAAGAGGTAAGTAAAGCTCATAAATTGCATACCTTTCTCCTGATTGTATTTTTGTTACTGCTTAACAACACAAATACTGCTTTAAACAGCTTTATTGTTAATTATTCTGTTATACATTTATTCATAAACATGAAGTCTACATTATGCTTTATTTCTAACAGGAAGAAAGTTTGTTAGTATCCTGATGCGTTTCTGGTATCTGAATAGTGCTAACCTACCTGATGAAGTACCAGGTGAAACCAAAGTCTTCCAGATTGTGTTTGGAGATGAAAGCACAAAGGAAAAAAGGCATATTTTAACAGCAAACTATGAGTAAGTTTTCTTGCCCCTTGTGTGCTAGCTGTGTGGAAACTAGTTTGGAATTGAAACTGTGTGTTCTGTCAGTGCAGAACACGTAGTAAGTACTTAAAGTATGTAAGCAATTAATATATTTTTTCCTCTTTGGTGCATAAGCATCGTTCTATGAGGTTTCATAGGAATAATACAGAAGTGAAGTATTTCTTTCCTGAATTTCTTCCTTGTTGATATTAGTATCTCTTTAAAGATTAAGTAAATTTAATGACACTTTGATTACTTTGTTGTCTTTTCCAGGTTCCAAAGGGAATTTACAGAAGGAGCAAAACCGGACTGGACAATTACACGAATTGAACATCCAAAGCTATTAGAATAAATGCCTTCTGCGGAATCTTTATGTTATAAATGTTCTGTTGTTACAAATATCAGACGTTTTGGTCTATTTTTTTTTCCCTCTTTTCCAAAAGGAGGGAAGAACTTTGTATGTTTGATTTATCCAAAATTGTTTCTGAAGTTTACACTATGCTGAAACCTTGCAATAAAGCCTTTTCCATGGAACAGGCTGGTACAGATTTAATTGGTACTAGTGCTCATCCAGGGCATTTAGATGGCACATTTTCACAAAGGCCAGTATAATGGGGATGTTGACTTCTTGTGTATATATGAAGAAAGAAATGGTACTACAACCCTTTCATGGCTGCTGACCCTTCTAAATTACCTTCATATATTTTTTTTCCCCAGGGACTGTGCAGTATGTAACTGAATAATATGCAAGATGAAATAGCAGTAGATGGACTTCTTAGATTGTCTATCTTCAACAGTTCAGTTTGAGGTAATGTCATTATTGAATGTATTTGAGATTAGGAAACTTAGAGCCATTATTAGTGTTTGGTATGAGATTGGAATAAAAAAAATCTCGTTAACATCACCCTGGGAAAATGGATCGTAGATTTTTTTTATAATAAAAATGATGTTCCTTTCAATTCAGTAACTCACAGATAATTCCAAGTTCAGAAGTTTGTGTTAGAATGATCAGTCTAAAACTTGAATTTAAGAGGACCTGATAACGTAGCTAAATGAATTCTTGAAACTGCTTGTAGAAGAAATGAGGAAATCATTATATGAAGACATAGAAAATCTAAAATCCCTTTTAGATTTCTTGTACAGTTGTTAGATGGTAGTGGGCATAAGTGGGCATAAGGTGGTCAGGGTGCAGAGGGGAGCTGTGTTTCAGTACTGGCCACTTCTGAGGCAGTTCAAACCCCTTCATATGCTGTCAATATCTCTTTTTCAGTTAGACTGTATTGTGTTTTAGCTCCAAAACCCTATGGGTTGACCTTGAGTTTCCCTTCTGGTGCTTTCTCCCAGCAGCTCCAGGTGGGGCCATTCTCCACGGCTTTGGTGTAGAGCACATTTTTTACATCTCACCTTGTCCAGGTTGGCTCTAGGGCTACTGCATGAACTATCTCCTGTTTAATTTGTACAAAGGCTTGTTGTTGCTCAGGGCCTTATGTAAAATCATTTTTCTGGGTCACTTGGTAGAAGGAGGTTACGGTCAGACTGTAATCCAGTGCATGCATTGTCCAGAAATCCACAACACATAAAAAAGCTTGTGTTTCCTTTTTGCTAGTTGGTGGGGATGTAGAGGTTATTTTGTTGATCACATCTACAAGGATCTGATGAACTGGACTTCCTGACCCTACTTTGCACTGTGATTCTCACTTCTGATTCTCAGAATTGGGCTATATTACTAATTATATATATTACATGTTATGTATGTAATGCAGTACTCTTTTTGCTAAGACTTTCTCCATGTTTTGGCATAACGAAGAACTGACTTCTCGGTTGGTTTTCTGTAGTTGTGAGATGAAACCGAGTACATTTGGAGGGACTGAGGATTTGATGAATGTAATTTTCTCATAGATCACAACTAAGGTCAAGCAAGATGAGCATTTCTTACAGAATTAATCAAATGATGTGCGATGAGTTTGTAATGCAAGTCATAGTCTGTAGCCTCTGTTCCATGGCTCTCGTTCCGGAAGTAAACATTCCTTTTTCATAGAAGAATGGTCAGTGTCAGAACTGCAGTGATAAGACTTGTTTGCCACCTTAGTACTGTGCTAAAAAAAGTACAGACACTTGTCTGGACTTTCAGTGCTTATTATTGCCTGAGTTACGATGATTTGCATGAGTTGTATGTGAAGAACATTGGTTCTGCGTGGAACAGATAGCAGTGAATATTATGACTGTACCAAGCTTTTACATTTCTTTCTAATCAGAACTGAGGTAGAGATCTGTGGTAATGTGGTGGGGAGAATGCCAGTGGTCTTAGAGTTTGAGCTCTTTAATTCTTTTAGTTGTCCGTGGGGATTTTTCCACTCTTTTAACTATAGCTGGTTTTGAAATATGCTTTAACGTTATCTCCAGTCATTTTGAATATATTGGTATCCAATACTGCAATTATTTTAACCTTCTAAATTTTTTCTTCTTGTCTGAAAATCTCTGATAAGAGCATGTTAATTGCGAGACTTAAACCAGTATTATTCATTGGGTGGTGTGGAAATAGTTCTCTTTGTTCTTCAAGGTGAAAATAAATAAATAAATAAACCTCCTGGCTTTGCATTGCCAGCCTAAATGTAGCTGCTCCAACCACTCTAAGGTACAAAATGGGTTTAGTGTATTCAAGCTAACTCCTAGTGAATATATTGGTAGATACTATGAAGACTGTCCCAAGTTCTCGTGGCTAAAAGGATATGGAGTTGTTTTACATAGTTCTCATCCAAGATTTACAGTCAAAGTTGGGGAGGAATATTGTCCTTTTACTTCAGTGATTTCCAGTGATGTCACTCAAACAACTTACCCAAAACTGATACAAATAATTTGTGTTACAAAGCTTTAAAAAGAGCAAAAGATGCTTTGCTAGAGATATTTTCCTGATTTAGAAATAAGCAATAGACATTCTAAAGAAGTGCACGTACCATGCTGTGTGTGGTTTTGCTGTGCTTCCTGCCAAAAATAAGGGGAAAATAAAGTAAATCCAGGGTTAGTTCTCGACTTAAAAAGAATAAATATATATTGAAGAATGAATGTACTGCCCCAAAACTGCTGAAAGGGATCACTAGAACAGTGTGGGCTTCTGTGTCACAGCATGCGTTCTTGCTCCTAAATTATCTTGCTTACCTTGTCTTAGACTTCACTTTAGAAATATGTTTGGATTTGAGTGTGCTTTATTTGCCTTCCATCTTTTCTGACTTCCACTTTTTTCCACTTTTGCTGCTGTAAGTCACGGGTAATTGTAGTTGTGCTTTACAGTCTATGCATCCCATACATACAAATCTAGAATATTTGCAGACTTTTTCAAACAGGCTGTAGTAATTCTTGAAAACACTTCTTGTTACTAGGTTTGTTAGTGAGTTTTAGGGTAATATCCATGCCTGTTAGTCGGGCTGAAGTTACTGATTCGTTTTACACAGAGCCTTGAGGTTACAAGGTGTCTGGACTAGGACTGAACTGTGAGATGTAAAATACCACATCCTTCTCATTGAGTAAAATGTGCTTCTTTAGGTTCGAACAGGGTTTGGGAAGACTACATTCATCAGAAACTGTGGACATGTTTCCTGTTACTGTCACTGCTCAACTGTAAACAGCTGCTTGGTGCATTTTCAGTTCAAATCCAACTAGGTTTTGATGAGTGTCAATTCTGGCTAAGAAAGCCCCATTAATTTGCACATCTCACCAGTAGATGGCCTTGGTTACACAGCTGGGAAGTGGCTAACGTTAATGAATGTAAGCAGGATAAAGGATAAAATGGTAGAGGTGCTTGCTCCCATTTGAGAGCTGTTTAAGTCATTTAGATTTAAGAACATTAATCTTGATGTTCTTACGGGCTTTCATCCTGAGTCAGCCATAGCGTCATCTCTCTGTGCAGTGCCAACCTATTTGGAAGTGGTGATTTCACAGCACAAAAGATGAGTTGTAGATGTGAATTCATTCAGGCACCTCAGTGTCTGACACAGCAAACCTTAGTTTTGTATTCACATTTTAAAGTATGTTTGTCGTGTTGATTTTTGTTCTTTTCCTAGTGTTGTTCTGATTAATTTGGAGTCTACATTCAGCTTTTTTCAGTCTACGAGGCATGTTCAAGTGTAACCTGGCCTTTACAGGCAGTTACACTTGGTTATTTTCAAGTCTTATCAGTGCAAAATTGCTCAGAAGTAAAAATCAATTGTTTGCCCTTCAAAAGTGAGTGAGTTTAGTATTTCCCTTTAGCTGTGTTGTGGTTAAACTTGTTTTCTGTCTGATGTGCTCCAGCCACATTGGCTGCAGGTTGGGGGCCTTTTAGGTTCTTTGCAAGCTGTGTGCTCATCATGTCTCTGGCTTGCATGGGTTGGGATACAAGCACGTGTGCTAGAGAAGTGTTTTTGTTTTTATTCCTCTTTCACGTGTGGATCTGAAGCCTCAGCTTATAAGCACTGCACCAAGCACAGGAAGAGGCATTTAGCTGCTAGCGAACTGAGTGTTGCTTGTATAGCTGTGCTTTCATTCTTCTAAGGGAGAAGCAGCTGGCCTAAATGGAGTTGCACAGTGAGTACTGCCCACAATAAGTTGTAGGGATATGCTTCCTTATCTTTCACCTTTTCCACTGTTGATGTGCTATTCTTTCATTTTTCTTACAATCCTGCTATATAGGGTTGTTGAATAGCTGTACAGCTGTTAGCGCTGTTGAAAACACTCCTCAACTCTCTGTCTCTTAAACATATTTAAATGATGTATGCTTTTTCATAGTAAGCTCCTATTGAAGATGGTGGGAAGATTGTCAGTGAGCTGTAATGGGAGGGGCGGAGTGTAGCTTTTTTGCTACCTTTGAAGTGATTCCCTCAGAAGTACAGGAGAGTTAAAGTTAGATGTGTTGTAGTTTACCTGTGTGCCACTTTCTCCCTCTTCTGTCACAGAACAGGACTCTTCATAGTGACTTTTGTTTCACAGTGTTTCAGGAACTGAGCGATGTGAACAGGACAAGCAAGCAAAGTACACATGTAAGCAAGGTTAGATCACAGAGCTGTCAGGTCAAGTGTGTCCACACAGACAAATCTAATGTTTTGGTGTTAGAAATTTTCTGTCTCCGATCTGCTAACCGTTGCACCTGGCAGAGGACATGGTGTTTCAGCAAGGACTTGGCCCTTTGCCTCAAGGATGAGATTTAGTGTGTGTAGGAAGCAAGTGTTGACTTAAACATTTGTCTAGATTATATGTTACATTTGACAGTAACCTTTTACATAATAAGCTACTCTTGTACTCTGATTTGTGCATGAGGGAACTATCTGGATTTCCAAAATAGGAACTGAAGTCCGAATGTAAGGTTGCAGAGATTTCACAGTATGTTTGTCAAACTGCCCAGGTAAAGTTACAGTAAATCAGAGCAGCTGTGGGTTGTCTCTGCCTTATGATAATTAGAAACTAGCAGAAACTTAGAAATCAGGAATGAAAAAGGTTGGGAGGAGGAGAAGGAATACCTTGACAATCCCTCTATGAATTTTCTGAAACCACTTGGCACGTGC